ATTTTATAAAAAAAACTGTCTTGATTTTGATATTTTAAAGTTGTAAGTAATCGACAAAGGCTGGTTGGCAACCCTGGCTACGCCGCCACAAGAAGGTTAGGTTAGAAGTGTCCAAGACCAAGATTCCAAGAATTGTAAACAATTCTTGAGAAGTGATAGGTTTATATGTTCTTTTTATACTCAAATGAAGATTGTTATAGAGCAATGAGTAATGTTAAGGAAACGTCGTGTAGGCTTTGCCTTAAAAATATAACCGATAAAAGTTTTGAAGTGGTAGACAACATTATCAGAGACATTCTAGATGTTCTTTTGCTGAAATTGGTAAGTCCGTGAAATATGTTTACATTATGTCTTAACAGTCTCAAGTGTAAAGCAGCTTTTTGGTATTTAACTGTTATTTTCCGCTACACTTATTTTTTCCTGTTTAAAGTTGCATATTTTTCAGAAATTTGATAACAAGAGCAAAGAGGTTATATGTAACGTTTGCAGAAGAAAGTTGAATGCAGCATTCGAATTTAAGTCAACTTGTCTGAATAGTGATAAAATAATTATTCCTTATGTGGATCGGGAAAAAATGTTACAGCTTGACTTTAGAGAAGTGTACATGCAGGAAAAGAAAAAAGAATTAGTTTTCAGTCAGAAAATATGTCGATTGTGTATGCAGCCAGTAGAAAGTGAGTTCAGGTGCATAAGTGAATTGGAACTTGAAGCTATTGAGAAATTGGCTCCTGAAATGGTATAAACCATATTAAATAATTGTATATTTTACAGTTTAACACAAATGCTTTGTAGAATATGAATATCATCAAAGATCCCGTTGTTTGTAAGCCATGCTTGGATTCTCTGTGTACTCACAACAGTTTCCTAAATGATTGCTTAGAAATAGAGGAAAAAGTTGAAAATACTTTTGATTCTTCAGCCACAGAAAGTCAAATAGATACGTCTCCACTTGATGTATTCATTAAGACTGAAAACTTGGACAAGGAATTCAATATTAACGAGATGAAAATGCCCATCAAAGTTGAAAGTATCGACATAAAATCGGAAGATGAGGAAATGAGGTAAGAGAAGACTATTTTAACATTAATTTAAACAATCGTCAAGAGTTAGGTTAACAAATTATTAGGAAAAAATGTAAGAACATTATCATAGAACAATCAGTATGGCATTAAATCAGATATGGATACAAATATACCATAGCCGTTGGATCTCTACGTTCTCGTCATCAAGCGTAATGCAATGAACTAAGATTTCAAACGAGTTCAAATCAGTGGTGGTGTTCATGAATTTACTGTTCATTTAAGAAATAGTGAGGATTCACATTTGTACAGGGTGGGCAAATAAGCGAGGTAAGCGGCTGTATCTCAGAAACTAGTGATCGTAGAGAGCTACGGTAAAAAATTTTATAGGTAAAGTGGGCAAGGGAAAATGCTGGAAATTATTTTCAAGTTTCCAAGATGGCCGCCAGTGGGCGTTTCCACCATCTTGAATTACATAAAGTTACGTTTCTCGCGATTTTCCCCAATGAATGTAACAAAAAAGTATTTGCGTTTTAATGTTAACTTAAAGTCGAATATTTTTTGTAAAAACAATTTTTCTCTATCTTTCGAAATAAAGTGGTGGGGGGTATTTGAATGTTGTTTTAAATAAATGCCTGTAACTTCGAAACGGCTTAATGGATTTGGATAAATTTGGTATCATTGAAAAGAGCATTTCTTGGGCTTTTAGGTTTCTCGTAATCATGACAGTTGCGACCTACACGGCCGCCGATAGAGGGCGTTATTCGATATTATAACCAAAATATTGGATTTTCTCAAAAAATTTAAATGCGATGATATGACTTTTTTTAGACTAGAAAATAGACAAATGACCAACCAATAAGCCTGCGCAAACCGCATCTTAATATCTTTTTCCTAACTCAAATTATTTAAAAAAATACTAAACCAGGAAAATTCATATATCCCCATTTAAAAATGCATCGGTTGCTTTCGATAAGAAGGCAAGTAGTAGGCCATGGACACGACAATCGCCTAACAAAAATATTGCCAAGTAACGTCAAACTTTTGTCACACGCAGCCTAATATTGTTGATTGCGTATAATTTGAGTACTTTTTAATCAAAATGCCTCTCACAAATAATGAAGCCGTTGACATGATTGCGATTTATTTCGAGTGTTTTCAAAATGCAGCTATAGCTGCAAGACAGTACGCGGCACGGTATCCAGATCGCCGTCATTACGGGAGAAGAATGTTTCCGCGCTTGGTACAGCGATTACGCGATACTGGAAGTTTTCGTCGTCCTAAACGTCGCAGGCGTCGCAATGGAAGGACCGAAGAAAACATTATCAATGTCTTGGCTTACATAGAATTTGATAGACATGTAGGAACTAGAACATTGTCTCTAGACTTGGGAATAGCACGAACAACTGTTAGAAATATTTTGAAAGATTATAGGTAAATAATTTTATCTTATTCCAAGTATCTTAGCACATACTCTCAAATACACAATTCAGTGTTATTCTGATTATATTATTTTTACGCATATGTTGTTTTTTACTTTTAGATTACATCCTTACCACATAGTTTTGCACCAGGCGCTAAATGAACAAGATTTCGATAATAGATTAAATTATTGTCAATGGATGCTAGGCATGCTTGAGGAAAACAGAAATTTCTTAACGGAAATTCTCTGGACCGACGAGGCTACCTTTAGTAGTGATGGTAGAGTAAACCGTCATAATATGCATTATTGGTCCGCTGAAAATCCGCATTGGTTAAGAGAAGTGCAGCACCAGGGACGCTGGAGCCTAAATGTGTGGTGCGGTATCATTGGGGACAGAATTATTGGACCTTATTTTTTTGATCAAGCTTTAACTGGTAACCGCTTCTTAGAGTTTTTGATCAACGACTTGCCAATTTTGTTGGAAGATGTGCCACTCGAAACTAGGAGAACTATGTTTCTGCAATTAGATGGTTGTCCGGCACATTATTCAATTAATGTCCGAAACCATATTAACGGGACCTTTCGAGAACGCTGGATAGGAAGGGGAAGCCTATTTCCTTGGCCGGCAAGATCTCCGGACTTGACATGTCTTGATTTTTACTTGTGGGGACGCTTAAAAGACATTGTTTTTCAAACTCCACCAACAACACGAATGGATATGGAAAACAGAATTCGAAACTCAATTCGTCAACTATCAGCGGTAGAAATCGAGGCTGCGGTTCTGTCGACTCAAGAAAGACTGGAACAATGTGTGGAATATGACGGAAGGCAATTTGAACACAGAAGGCATTAATCTTTTTTCAAAATCGGTCCTTTTCAGGACCACAACTTTATTTAAAAGGAAAATCGCTTATAAATACGAAAACGTGCGACTTAAAATCACAGCACTAAATAAACTGACATTTCTTGTGAATATTTTAGAGAGGAGTTTGTCTTTTATTTCCATGGCCTACTACTTGCCTTCTTATCGAAAGCAACCGATGCATTTTTAAATGGGGATATATGAATTTTCCTGGTTTAGTATTTTTTTTTAATAATTTGAGTTAGGAAAAAGATATTAAGATGCGGTTTGCGCAGGCTTATTGGTTGGTCATTTGTCTATTTTCTAGTCTAAAAAAAGTCATATCATCGCATTTAAATTTTTTGAGAAAATCCAATATTTTGGTTATAATATCGAATAACGCCCTCTATCGGCGGCCGTGTAGGTCGCAACTGTCATGATTACGAGAAACCTAAAAGCCCAAGAAATGCTCTTTTCAATGATACCAAATTTATCCAAATCCATTAAGCCGTTTCGAAGTTACAGGCATTTATTTAAAACAACATTCAAATACCCCCCACCACTTTATTTCGAAAGATAGAGAAAAATTGTTTTTACAAAAAATGTTCGACTTTAAGTTAACATTAAAACGCAAATACTTTTTTGTTACATTCATTGGGGAAAATCGTGAGAAACGTAACTTTATGTAATTCAATATGGTGGAAACGCCCACTGGCGGCCATCTTGGAAACTTGAAAATAATTTCCAGCATTTTCCCTTGCCCACTTTACCTATAAAATTTTTTACCGTAGCTCTCTACGATCATTAGTTTCTGAGATACAGCCGCTTACCTCGCTTATTTGCCCACTCTGTACAATGAAAACCTGTTTTGTGATTTTTTGCATCATAACAGCAGTTTAAAATTCACCAAAACCAAACAAATTTAAGCTGGATTTACTGAGATAACCACAGAACTCACAGAAAATTAAGCCAATCAATAGAGGTTTTGTTTGTGATGAAACCATTGGTAGCAAACGGACTGTGCCATCATATAAAAGACAATCTGTAGATATATGCTTATATGCTTCCTATTCCAATTTACCATTAATTAATTTTTTTTAATATTTTTATGCAAAAAACGCATTTTTTTAGTTTTTTGGTTATAAAACCTATACTAATGAAGCAGTTTTGAATGCTACAAAGAGACAATTTGCAGAGAATCGAATCGACGAATGAAATGAGAGGTTGATCGACCCAACCAGACAGTTAGAAATGTAGAAAACCCAGAAAATTAGGAAAATTTTGCATTTTTTTTTGTTAAATTCGTTACTCCGTTACATTTTTTAAGTTGTAGAGCTGACCCTGTGCACAAAAGTAGTGAATTATATGTACCTTAAACTTTAAGTGTGCACAAAGCCGGCGCTGTCGGATCATTAGTTTTGGCACAATTGCAATTTGAATTTTTTGGTGCACTGTTTTGCAAAATTTCTGGAGGAGTTGGAGATAATCCAATTTTAATTTTTCAGCCGGATATTAAAGGTAGAAGTATAATACAACAAAACGTATACTTTAATTTTACGATAAAATGATGCGAAATTGGTGAAAAATTCCTCCAAACATGCCCAAAAGCGGCCGAGAGCGCGTACGCGGTCGAGCAATGGGGGAAGATCAGAAGATGAGGGGCAGTGGAAAATTAGAATATATATTTTGTAGTATTATACTTTTTTCAGCTGGATTTTAAAATCCGGCTGAAAAATTAAAATCAGACCACCTCCTGCACATGCAGAAATCTTGCAAAATAGTGCACCAAAAAATTCAAATTGCAACTGTGCCAAAACTGATGCTTTGACAGCGCATGGTTTATGCACACTTAAAATACATATAATTCACTACTTTTGTGCACAGGGTCAGCTTTACAACTTAAAAAATGGCGAAGTAATGAAGTTAAAAAGAAAAACTCAATTTTCCAATTTTTTCCGGGTTTTCTCTGTTTCTAATAATCTTCTCGTTTCATTCATATTTTCATTCTTTACAAACTGTCTCCTTTTAGCATTCATAATTGCTTTGTTGGATTAGGTTTTAAAATCAAAAAACTAAAAAAATGCGTTTTTTGCATAAAAATGTTCATACAAAATTAATTAATGATAAGTTGGAGTAGGAAACATCTAGGCATATATCTACTGACTGTCTTTTATATGATGGCACAGTCCGTTTGCTACTAGTATTTTTGTCACAAAATCACTGATTAAATGCTCTATTGATTGACCTAAATCCATCTGAGACAACAAAGAATGTAGAAAATGATGCTAGTCAAATATATGTCTAAATTTTAGGCTCATAACAAACGACTATATGTCGGTCTCTTTGTCATTCATCATGTCAGAACTAGTGTCGGTCGTACAACACATGAAGACGACAGCTTGTCTTTTTCTACCAGTTAATTCATGTTGATCAATAATTAAACATTTTTTGTCTTTTATATTGATGTATGTGGATGACATAAACATAAAGCTCCAATGGCTCAGCTGTAGTAATAAATAGTTATCCAAGAATAACTAGAAATGATATATCTAAAAATACTTAATATGAAAACATGCCAGATACATTGAAGTTATTAAATAATCATTCACAGAAGTTTTTGTATATTTTCTTTTATCCCTTTTCACAAAGACGAACATTAAAAAAACAGCTACTACGAAGAGATCTTTTATTGCCACATTTTACTTCATTTGATAAGTTGTCTTAGAAAACATTTTTGGAGAGCTGTATTCCTTGGTATCTTGGAGGATACAGAAAATCAGTATATATATTCCGATAGTAACTTTGATTGCTCCTCGTACATCGGACCCCAAACAAAATTTAAAAAATCTGTAAAATAATAATTATACATCAGGCAATAGCGTGTCACACTTGAATTTCTCAGGGCGTCAAATATTGAAAATTTCCACTATTCGTGGGTTCGAAAAGGAGGGTGACGAGGAGAATTTAAGGGAAAACAAAATAAATTATAAACTAAATCAAGGGTAGACAAAAATTTATTGCCGCTACGCAGGGGTGATTGGAATTTGTAGAGCACACCGTAGGCAGCTTGTGGTGAACGCACCCACTGCAACTTTCTGCCTAATAATCGTGTTTCAGGTACTTTATATAAAATTAAAATTATGTTATAACTACTCGTACTTTCGTTGATTCAACTGTTGTTAACTTTGCGAAAAGAAACAGGATAATTGTTAGTTTTTAGTATTTGCTTAAATTAACTAGTATTCTTGTTCTGGTATTACTGAATATTTGAATTTTGTTGTTTGTGATTTTCATAATTTCTACCTTCTGTCGTAAGGGCTGAGGGGAATGACATTTCAAACAATTACTAATAGGTTTAAAGTACGATGGTTTTTTCGGTTGTTATGCCGTGCCAAATGTACTGATTGCTGCCACCTACAGATTCACATTTAGTGGAGTCAAGATAGATTTTGACTTCGGAAAATTACTGGAAGAGAGAACTTTTCATTTTTCGCTTTGTAAAGTTGTCAGAAACAACATATAAAAAGTTACCAAGCGTAGAGTGTACGCTAAATTATTTATTTAACAAATTAGTTGCAAAATTACAGTTTCTGCAAAATATATAAAAAATATAATTTTTAAAAACAATTAACTGCGCTATTCGAAAAAACAGGAAATTTTACATAAAAAATGTTAATAAAGTTTTTTTCTAAAATGCGAATTTAAGGCTGTAGAATTTTTTTGTAACGTACGAAAAATGAGACGGGCAGCTCTCAAGTATAACTCTCGAAGAGCGCGCGGTCCCGAGCGCGCTACACTAAATTAAAAATATAGTACGTATACAAAGTTACGTCATTCTATAATTTTGNAATATGAAATCATGCCAGATACATTGAAGTTATTAAATAATCATTCACAGAAGTTTTTGTATATTTTCTTTTATCCCTTTTGACAAAGACGAACATTAAAAAAACAGCTACTACGAAGAGATCTTTTATTGCCACATTTTACTTCATTTGATAAGTTGTCTTAGAAAACATTTTTGGAGAGCTGTATTCCTTGGTATCTTGGAGGATACAGAAAATCAGTATATATATTCCGATAGTAACTTTGATTGCTCCTCGTACATCGGACCCCAAACAAAATTTAAAAAATCTGTAAAATAATAATTATACATCAGGCAATAGCGTGTCACACTTGAATTTCTCAGGGCGTCAAATATTGAAAATTTCCACTATTCGTGGGTTCGAAAAGGAGGGTGACGAGGAGAATTTAAGGGAAAACAAAATAAATTATAAACTAAATCAAGGGTAGACAAAAATTTATTGCCGCTACGCAGGGGTGATTGGAATTTGTAGAGCACACCGTAGGCAGCTTGTGGTGAACGCACCCACTGCAACTTTCTGCCTAATAATCGTGTTTCAGGTACTTTATATAAAATTAAAATTATGTTATAACTACTCGNTCACAGATTACTTTCTAAATGACGATTGAAACAGTGAACGATATGGAAAAAATCTTATAAATTTTATTTGAAAAATATTGAGCCCAACATATTCAATAATTTTAAAAAATTACAAATTTGACTTCTTAGGCCATACTTTATAAATCAAAAACTATATAGACCGATCGAAATAACTCATTTAGAGGGGAAAAAAAATTGTTACCTGGACTTTTATAAGTGGAAATGGTAGAGGGGCTTATAATAAACGTAAAAAAAAATAATGCGTGAGCAGGAGCGGCGGAGGGTTCATTTGGGGGGTTGAAAAGTGGTGAAAAATGGTATCATTGAGATTTCTGGCGAAAGTTGATGTCAAACAAAAAAGTATCCAATACAAAAGTTATAGATCATGAAAAAATCTACAACTCTTGTAGAGGTCACTTTTGAAGATAACCTCAAAATTTCCGAGAAAAATGCGAAAAACAGGGTTTTTTCCTTTTTTTTTCGTTTTTTATTTCCCATTTCCGCAAAAATAATTTAATTTTGACGAAACTTGGTGAAAGTATACTTCGCTGAGTCTTAAATAACCACAATTTTTTTTAGACAAAAAAATCAAGAAGTTTCCGAGATATTCATATTTTCCGATCTGAAACACTTTTTTTTCAAAGAAACATTCTACTTAAAAAAATCATCATACAGAGTTCTGCCGGTAATCATTTTTTTCGTTTTGACATATACTTTTTGGTGAAATAAAAAAAATTTGGATCGCAGTTCAAAAACATGCTCAAAAATACAAAAAAAGAAAAATGACTCTTGCAGCAATGAATTTTTCAGTAATTATTGTTGATAGTTTGTTTAAATTTAAAGAAAATTCAAAAACTGATTACACCATTCGATTGTACGGAAAAAATACAAAAGAAACTGTGTCTCATTGTTTGACCCGAAATTTTATTTTTGTACAGTATTGCTATAAACATAATATTTTTTTTCGTAGGATCGATTAATGTACTTATTTTTTTTAACTTTGAATTGAATTCATAGATGTATAAGCGACTCTTTAATTAAATTATGTAAAATTCAGATTTTTGCTTTCAAAATTTAAAAAATATTTACAAAGGATATTTACAGTTAATAATACTAGGCGAATCTTGGTCTTTTTGGCAGCCTTTTAACTTGAACTTCATCGTCCGATCCTTCATTAGAACCCAGTCTTCCTGTTCTTCAAACGTTTCTTTGATATCACTTAATTCTTCGTTTAATTGATCTTCCGGGTTCAAGCAAAGACTGGGCTTCTCAATTTCATGTGAAATGTCTTCGGAATCACTGAAATTTTCCGAAATTTTGTCAACGTTCAAACAATTGTCCGAACCATGACATTTTGTACATAAATCTGTACATCGCACTCCATGTTTTCGACACCCGCATCTATTACCGTTGGTAAAACCTTTTTATGAGACTAATGCAGAATCAAAAGTCATTGTTCGAAATGGTTGTAAATTAATTTCGTCTATTTACAAATGCACAAATGATAAATTATCTCTGGATGATTTGAGATTTCAGCAATACAAAGTATTAACTGCAAAGTCTACTTTTAAATTAGAAAAATTACCACCAACTGTCGGAGCAGCTACACAACACTCCTATAGAGCATACTTTCAGCTTCAGACGTGGCTTGGAAACAAAATAACTGCAACCAAGTGGGGCTGGAAAGAAGTAATTGCGAATAATTCCAAAATACTCATGCCTCGCTTTACAGAAGTTTCAGTCGTTCCTGAAGATTTAATAAAAACAATCTCTTGCAGCTGCGAAACCAGTTGTGACGGTAATAGATGCGGGTGTCGAAAACATGGACTGCGATGTACAGATTTATGTACAAAATGTCATGGTTCGGACAATTGTTTGAACCTTGACAAAATTTCAGAAAATTTCAGTGATTCCGAAGACATTTCAAATGAAATCGAGCAGCCCAGTCTTTGCTTGAACCCGGAAGATCAATTAACCGAAGAATTAAGTGATATCGAAGAAACGTTTGAAGATCAGGAAGAAACCCAGTTTAATGAAGGATAGGACGATGAAGATCAATTTAAAAAGTTGCCAAAAAGACCAAGATTCGCCTAGTATTATTAACTGTAAATATCCTTTGTAAATATTTTTTAAATTTTGAAAGCAAAAATCTGAATTTTACATAATTTAATTAAAGAGTCGCTTATACATCTATGAATTCAATTCAAAGTTAAAAAAAATAAGTACATTAATCGATCCTACGAAAAAAAAATATTATGTTTATAGCAATACTGTACAAAAATAAAATTTCGGGTCAAACAATGAGACACAGTTTCTTTTGTATTTTTTCCGTACAATCGAATGGTGTAATCAGTTTTTGAATTTTCTTTAAATTTAAACAAACTATCAACAATAATTACTGAAAAATTCATTTCTGCAAGAGTCATTTTTCTTTTTTGCATTTTTGAGCATGTTTTTGAACTGCGATTCCAATTTTTTTTATTTCACCAAAAAGTATATGTCAAAACGAAAAAAATGATTACCGGCAGAACTCTGTACGATGATTTTTTTAAGTAGAATTTTTCTTTGAAAAAAAAGTGTTTCAGACCGGAAAATATGAATATCTCGGAAACTTCTTGATTTTTTTATCTAAAAAAAATTGTGGTTATTTAATACACAGCAAAGTATACTTTCACCAAGTTTCGTCGAAATTAAATTATTTTTGCGGAAATGAGAAATAAAAAACGAAAAAAAAAGGAAAAAACCTGTTTTTCGCATTTTTCTCGGGAATTTTGAGGTTATCTTCAAAAGTGCCCTCTACAAGAGTTGTAGATTTTTTCATGATCTATAACTTTTGTATTGAATACTTTTTTGTGTGACATCAACTTTCGCCAGCAATCTCAATGATACCATTTTTCACCCTTTTTCAACCCCCCAAATCAACCCTCCGCCGCCTCTGCTCACGCATTTATTTTTTTTACGTTTATTAGAAGCCCCTTTACCATTTCCACTTATAAAAGTCCAGGAAACAATTTTTTTTTCTCTAAGTGTAATTTGGTTGGACTAAAGTTGTAAACGTGATATTGAAACTTTATGAGAGCACTTTTTAAAGCTTAAAATCTCCATTTTAAGATGATGCATTTTATTTTTCTTAAAAAATTGAAATAATAGTTGAAAAACAAAAAATAAACAATAAAAATATTTTATGAAAAATCCGTGAAATTTATTGTTAAATAAAGTTTAATAATGTACAAAAAAAAAATTGTTTAATAAACCATCAAAGAATTAAGTTAAGACCTTAAAAAAAGTAAATCCAGCGAAAAATAATTTTTTTATTTATAGTAATAAGTGGAAAATTGTTATAACAGCAAAAAAATAACGTTTTTTGATGAATTGATTTAATATTCATTTTTAAAACGTATATTCTGTATCTGAAATTGTGAATATAAGTTCTCTTATTGATGTAGACACAGATATCAGTTTGGGTGACGAAGCTAAGCAGTGAGCACACCAAATATTTTTTTGTTACTTACAGTTTTATTTATTTTAAAAGCGTTTTTCGTTTATAAGAATTAAATAATTATTATTATAAATGGTATAAGAATATGATTTTTATGTTTTCGAGTAAGCTGCAGTTATCAGTGTGTTAAAAAGTGTATTATTCACATATTTTGTCCATTTTGAGGTTATACTCTCGTACACTTGTAATTCTTTAATGTAATATTATTACTTAATATTACAAATAATCTTCAGTTTGCATTTAAGGTATTTATATTCGTTTTCTTTTATGCTAAACCTGTAAATGTATGAGTTTAATATTTATATATGAATATTGATCCATTTTTAAAATAATGAATAAATAAATAATAGGGGACGTTGATTTTGATTTTGTAATTTTGTATTTAAAGGAAAGCAGGGTTGATTTGCACTGCAGCATGCTGTCCCTGTGCTGGCAGTGATTGCCTTAATTACCCAGTTATTTTTTAAGAAGAGCAAGAACTCGATTTAAGAATTAATTATTTTGTAATAAATTTGTTTTTTAAAAAATAAAACATGTTTTCAATAAATCTCTTTAACCATTTATAATTTTCATTTTTTGAACCTCTATATTACAAATATGAGCGAGTTTGATTTAAAATCGATAGTTGTTAAATAAATTGTTTAAATTAGTCGGCCATATTGAATCAGCCATTTTGAATTTTCATTTTCCGACTTCATATTCTTGTTCAGCGACATTGAAAACCCCTAAAGTTGTCAATTTGAAAGAATTCGATTTAAAATTCATTGAATTATTTTAAATGTTCTTAAAAAAACTATTTATTATTGTTTAAACAATTAAAAAACA